AATTATTATTATAGTTTTATATATATATAGTTTTTGTAAAAGTAACTTAAATATACAAATAAACATTATAGAGTTAACTTGTTTAATTATTATTATTATTTTATATAGTAATAATTTAAGCTATGCTTACAGTTTTTTATCTTGAGGAAAAGCGAGCTTGTGGCTGGATGCCATGCGGGAATTGCTCTTGAAATTTTTTTTAAATTGTCTGACGTAATTCAGCCAGGCTCTATATAAAAGAGGCCTTGTATACTTCTTAATCTGATCTAAGCTGGCATGAATGCCTACCCAAGAGACTTGCACTATCATGACTAACCCGAAGGACTGAAAAAGCAGTAAATATTAGATCCGGCCTCCAGCCCTTAGGCCTAGTGAAGTGGAAAAACGCAAAAGACCACCACCAGGAAAGGCAGCCGACCCAAGGCCACCTGGAGACACCTGCCAGCGCCACTGCCAGCTAGGCCTCCCCGATTATGGGCTCCTCACCCAGGAGGAGCCTGTTTGCTCTTACAATGGGCGAGGAGGAGGGGGGAGGGAATACGTGCGTAGCGCTATGGACTTCACTAGCTAGTCTTATCGCGCTTTATTAAGTCGTTAATAAGAAAAGTAACTTACCGATATGTTCTAAATCGTTAGGCCGTAGTATTATTACATTAAGAGAGCTGGTGTCCAATAAATAGAAGAATTATAATAAAGCATTGATTAGAAGATACTCATTGCGTTTTATAGGATGAGTGGATCATAAACAGAGAACAGACTAGGTGAGACAGAAAACAAGGCTGCTGGAAACAGTATGAGGTGGATCCTCGATCTTTTATAAAAGGGCAAAACCAAAAACGCTATGCATGCACCTTTTGTATTTTTATAAAGGATCAACAAAACTCTAAAATACGACCTATAAATTCTACGAGGTAGCCACAATAATTCTTTTGCTGATTAAGCCCACTGAAGAAGAGAATCTATACACGACACCTGTGAATCTTGCTTTCTAAATAAAAAGGTTTTCTAGATGGTACTCAGCCACGTATGCGCACATCACATCATTAGTGTTGGCATTGTATGGTGCAAGCTACAAAAAACTTAATTCCAATGATTATATAGACTTACAAGCAGTTGTACATTTGCAAACTTTGTGACTTAAAGGCATCGCTACTTCCAAGAAACATAGCTCGAACGAAAGATCGATAATATTGGCAAGCCCCAGCCGCAGAAAAATTAGCCCATGAACCAATAAGGCTAAAAGATAATTATTGTGTTCGGATCAGTGCAAAAGTGCTATTAACGCCACTCATTCTGTCACTCTTACAACTAAGAGCTTTTAGTTGCACTTATTTACTAAAAGGTGCAGTGGATGAGGGAACTTTGCTAGTATTGCCATTGTTTCACCAAAGGCTCCATTAAATCTGCTTGATTATTTATGAACATAGATTTACTTTTACCGGCAGCGCCAGTATACACGGCACAAGTATCGAGAATGAAATCAGTGCAACTCAAGCCGTCCATCAAGTCTGAAGATTACATACTGGCCGCCTATTGGAGCAAGCCCAAGTTAGCCCTAGACGATGAGCTAGCTATCATGATACGTATAATATACCCTTCTCAAGACTAAAACTCATTCAAGGTTTTTACTGTTATCAGGAGCATATCTTTTAATACACGGGTTTCCCCGTTTATAGCTCTCCGGAGAGCATGCCTCCTGAGCCCATAAAACCTTAAAAAAGAGTTCCATAAGCACAACTATAAGGTTACAAGGGCCATTCTATAGCTGTAATCCCCAATAAAGCTAGCGAGGCCTTTGTTCGTCGTAGAGGGCGGTATGGCCAGAGGGAAATGAGCCGACTTTGAACATGCAATCCACCTCCAGATGGCCCTCTATAGATCCCCTTGGAACATGATCTCTAGTAGGATAGTAGAAATTAATCCTATTAAGAAGCGAAGTTTTTTCGGACTAATTAAGCATTGTGGAGCACACTGCTGAAAAGAACCAAGGTTTGAGCAAAGACAGGATTCTAGTGTAACTACCCGAGATTTCGAGAGGAGACCAAATTCCACCAGTTCGTATGGAATGATCCAAAGAACTGTAAAAGATTAAATTAGGAAGACAAAGAAGAAATTCTCAGAGATTATATTATTTGTCCTGGTTGCCTTGTATTGTGAGATGCGTAGTGGTAAGTGCTGGTATTTATAGTACTGTTTACTAATATTCTGTAAAACCGCGCGGTATATATAAGTATACTGGTAAACAACTCTATTAGCCTCCAGAGCCACAAGCACGGTTAGTATGCCGCATTCGAAGCTACAGAGACTACACAGGCGCGGCTCATATATCAGTTCAGTTAATTAGTCAAACCGATAGTTCAACCACACCCATAGCTCCTGGTCATTTTTTTAGCAAAGGCTTAACAGACTATACTTCATCACGTAATAAAATAATGACTTCGACAGGCAACACCAGTATATAAGGCGCAAGCATCGAGAATGAGAATCAATGCTATCGAAGTCATCTCTCAAGGTCTCAACCTCATATTACTAGTAGCCTAACGGGGACAGCCCAAGTAAGCCCGAAACTACTATGAGTTAGCTCATAAGGACACATATAGATCCTGCCACAGGGTCCAAGCTAGACCAAGGTTTTTCTCAAGTTTAAAAGCTAAGATTTTTACTCTTGGGTTATTGAGTCATATTGGAGATACTAAATGTAACTTTCCAGAGTAACGTGCAACCGTGACCTAGAGCTTAGCTAAGATTCCATAATCACAAATATAAGATTGGTTAAGAATTCCAAGGATCATTCTAGATCTGTATTAACCCAAGATCTAAGGAAGGGCATTGCTCATAGTGGGGAATGACATGTCCCCACCTAAAATAAGTCGACATTCGTGCGAGAGAGTCCATCTCTGGGTGGCACCCTATTGATCATTTTAGATATTGCTACCCACGGGAAATTGCCAGGGATAACACGAATGCTAGACGCCCTTTTAATATAGGTTCCGATCTTTTTCATATGCTTAGAGGCTTATGAACAAACGGAAATCCTTACTCCTCTAAGTTGTGTACAACTGAACGAGGACAAGAGTTGCATAGTGCTTCCACTAAGAACCCAACCTACTAAGTTTCTTTTCTTAAGATTCCTTAAATGACGACTAAGGCCTACATAATAGTCATTAAAGTTCAATTAAGGAAGCTCGCGTTGCAGATACTAAAAAGGTAGACAGATAAAAATGCTGGTAAATGCGGGAGCATGCCACGGCGGTTACATTCCGTATCTCTGATATGTCTTTTAAGGACTTTTATTTAAAAAATGACCCTTTTTTAAGCTAAGAGAGTATCCTTACCCAGACTTGTAAATAATTAAGGGGAGGAGTAATATTTCTCTAGGCAATAACGCCAACGACTTATCAAGAGGCTAGAGCTCAAGAACACAGCTAAAGCGCGTAGAAAAATCTAGCACGTTTCGCCATGACTCCTGAGAACTTACAAAATAAGCCCTTCCAAGGTACCAAGGCGACTCTCTGTTTTAACATTTTGAAGAGCAGTTCTTTCAAAACGTGCGGACTTTCGCCAATTAAAACAGTTCATTCCCACCTAGAACTCTCCGTGGCCTACGCCCACCCTGACCACTATCTCACCAAGGAATACAACCATATTCACGATTTTTTGGAAAGTAAGGCAAAAATGCTAACTCAAGTCTACTGTTGAATTTCAGTTTACGCTAAAGGACCACAAAAACCACAAGATTATTTCGTGAAGAGATGGAACGCTAAATCTACTAAGGCTATAGGGAAGCTGTAACACCGAATTTTACTAGATCCGACACGTATGAAGGTTATGTACCCAAAAATAATGCTCTAAGTAAATTCTAAGAGTGTGTTAGCCTATATTTTCATAGGTGTTTCGTTACAGGAAAATTTATTTATTTATAATTTTATTATTATTTATTATTGTTATTATTGTTATTATTATAATGCCATGATACCAAAGATAAAAGAGAGCATTTTGAGGTCAAAGTTGACACCGTAACATAGTGGCAAGTCACTAACCCTGCTACCAGCATAGCTGCCTTGTCCCAAAGTTTTATAAAATAACGCTCACCGCACGCAGGATAACCTGTTTGCTACAACGTTGCTCAAGAAAGTCTTTAAAGCCAAGCTCGCGTCGATTTTCGCGTGAAAGGAGTGGTTCTACTTAATTAGAACTACACTAATTAACACTCTAGAAATGCTAATTAGCTTGTTTTAATAAAGTAGAACGAAAAATAACTCCCTAGTGGAAGGAAAAATGAAAGGGAGTTATTTATTTAATAATTTATAAATAGGTTTCCTAATTCTCCAGGAAGATCAACAAACTCTCGTTCTTTTTAGGGTTTTTCCTGGTTCTTTAACAAAGTTAACCAACTTCTAAAACTTTTTTAATAAAGATTTTAGCATATAAAAAACATTATTCTAATTCACTAGTAAATTATTATCAGAGTCTACATAAACTTTTTTCTTAAGAATCCCATGTTGACCCACGTGGTCGGTGAAGGAGTTCGAGCGTTTTCCAGTGCATGTAAGTGAGCTCAGTAACCCGTACGTAAAAGAGAGTAATGGGAGATCACATAAAAAAGCGCCTGTAGATCAATTAAATGTCTCAACCGCCTTGTATTGCCCAATAAGCGTTTACTCTAAGTTACTAACTTGAACCACCTTTACAACCACATAGCCCACGTGTTAGCTATATGAAAAAATTTACTTTTTTATTATTATATTTTTAAAAGCTTCTATAAGTCAGGAACAAATTTGAGTTTTTCTAATATTACTTGATAACACTCGACACTGTCATCTTTATGTAATAATAAAGAATCCTTCTGGCCGCTGTTTTCCTTATTTTAACATAGAAATAAATAAAAGATCAAGTAAAAAAATAATTCATAATTAATTAAAGTAAATAATACTACTAGAATTATAATATAATAGTAATAATGATCAAAATAATACAAAAAATAATTACATAATCCAAAAGTAGACCGCAGTCTTTACCAGTATTAACTTTAGAAACTTCTGATTTGAAATGTTTTAAACTAATAAGCCTTCCTTGATGTTATAACGGTTCATAATTAAAATCAGTGGCTCAAAAGGCGCTAATAGAAAGTCAAGAAAAAAACCTTCGAATATAATAAGAGTGCCCCGTTTTATTACGTATAAGCCGTCACTTATAAAGTAGCCGCTGTTTACACTACAGCCAGCTACAATGTTTGCATCTGTAATAGTAATATTAATAATAAAATAATAGTAGTAGGTAGAATTATTACTTTTTCCGTGGAGTTTAAAGATCTCTTTTATTATTCCAGAGCCTGTAAGAACTTTTTTTTCTAAGACTGGCATTGCTTCTTGAAACTTCTCTACATTAAAGTATATAATATAGTAAGTGATAATAATAATAATAATATATAAGTAAATTATTTTACGAGTGACGGCATCAATAATATTATATATAATGTTAGAGTTCAAAACTTCCACGTTATTTTTTTTGATCAAAGACTGCAACTTTTTATCGATATTAACGTTAAACGCGATGAGAGTGGCTGCATCATAAAAAAAAATTAAAAATAGCTTTAAAAATAATTAAATGATGTAAATATATTTATTAAAAATAGCAAGCAAGTAAGAATGTGATAAATAACCAATAGGATTTCTTTTTAAAAAAAGTTAACTAATAAACATCAATGTAAAAAAAATAAACCATCAAAAACATTTTCACAATATTAATACAACAATAAATAGAAGTAAACAAGTTTTTAGAAAAAAATAAAACCAAAAAAAAAACGTTAATTGAGGGGAAAAAATTGTTTTATTAATATTTTTATAAATTGGGCAGTTTAAATAACCAATGAGTCAATAATTAATTGATCAATAAAATTAATAAAGAATTACATAAAAAATACTCTAACAACTGGAATGTAGCAAATTGTTATAGTAATATAAAAACTAACACCAATAATAATTTTACAATTATTTTAAAAAAATATATTTAATATAAGTCAACAGGCAATCATTAAAAAAACATAAATAATAAATCATAGATAGAATAGCCAATAAATAACCAAAAAAAGATCACTTATAATAAGAACTAACCACTCAACAACGAAAACATATATGCACGTAAATAGGCGTAAAATGGGTTAAGTACTAGAACCTTTAGCAGCAACCGCAAGTTCCACGTGGTTTTGTGAAACATCTCCAACAGAACAATGAAGTAAACTTAATAGAAAAAAAATATAAATAAAGTAAACAAGAAAAAATAAAGAAAAAAAACTTTATTTTAGCGTATTGGTTTTTGAATTTATTTAAGGAAACTTTAAGAGCATTAACAGTGCCGTAAGTATCGCCTTATATAAAGTTTCAATAATAATAAAATAATAATGATAATGATAATAGTAATAATTAAATATAAACCTTTAACAATATAGTAAAAAATTTTGGCCCCTTCATTTAAAGTTTCAGTAGTAGGATCATTCTTATAAAAATATAAATAATATTTAAAAAATATATATATAAAAAAAAAATTAGCAAAAAGGAAATAATATAATAAAAATAAATTAATACTTAGAATTATAATAAATAAATAACACTAAAGTAAATATATTTTAACAAACAATAATATTATAAAATTAATAAAGTACAATATAGATATAATAACAAATATTAAATAATAATAGTATAGATATAATACTAATAAAACTATAAAAAAAAATACAATGAAATATCAATAATAATAGTATTATATAAAAAAATTGTTTATATAATAAAACAAATATAATAACATAATAACAATAAAAGTACACTGAAATAATTTTTTTAATAAAGAAAAGTTTTTTTAAACATGCAAAAGTAAACAAAAAAATAATTAAAATTTAAATACTATTATTAAATGATTATTATAAATATAAATAAGTAACAAACAGTATAATAAATATTATATTAAAGTTTACTGTTGTTCACTGATTGTTTTTTAAATAAACAAAATAAAGTACAAAAAGCTTAATAATAATAAATAATAATAATAACTATAAAAAAAATGATTAGTGAAGCTAAACGGACTTGAAAAAGTAGAGTTTGATAGCAAAACTTATATATATTCTTTAAGAAAAAAACTATAAATTACTTAATAATAAATGTTAAACAGAAGTATATATAAATGATTATAAAAGAAAAGTTAAAAATGAACTTATAGCAACATAAGAGTATAATAGTATAATAAAAATTAAAAAAAATGTTGTTGCGTAAAGAAAAAAGTACATACGCTTAAAAATTGCTAAAAATAACTAAAAATAGAAAAATGATTGAAAGTAAAAAAAATTAAAAATATAATAATTTATATAAGAAAAAAGTAAAAGAAAAATAAAGATTTTTTTTTGTTATAACAAGAACTACAATAGTAAAGAAAAATTAGTTAAAAAGTATAAGAAATTCAAACATAGGAGAATAAAAGCGCTCATAATAAAGAAGTTCTATTGGCCAAAAAATAGTGTTATTACGAAATAATCCAATCAGAATTAATAATTTACGAGAAAAAAATGAGGATATTTACATAAGCCAATCAGAATTCAAAGGAGTACAAATAAGGCAACAATCTCTTAAAAAAATAAAAATTAAAAAGACTTGGTGAAGAAAAGAGAAAAATACACCAATGAAAGTGTATTAAATTAAAATACTTTTTTATAGAAAAAGTCTCTAAAAAGCAATTGGTTAAACGATAAAATGAATAAGTACCCGTTAAATTACAAAAATCTACAAGAAAACCAATGATGCCTAAAAAACCAATAAAAACGCAGAGAGGAAAAAGTTACATAAAATAAAATTAAGAACGATTATTGGTAAATAAATATTTATAATAAAAATAATAAAGAAAAAAATACGCGATATTTTCTTTTTTTCAAGTTCACGCTTTTAAAAATTTTTCTAAATAATATTTTTTTTCTGGCTCGTATGAGTCTATTAGCACGACTCTAAAGAAAATAAAAATAATAATAATATTATAAAACATTTATTAAAAAAAGTAAGAAATAAATAAATATATATTATGAAGTAATAATAGTAGAAGACAATATAAAATAAATATTGTTATATAGTAATAAATAATATTAATAATAAACAAGAAAAAGAAAAAGTGAAAAAATAAACAAGTAAAAATAATATTAATAATAAAAGAATATAAAATAATAAATAATAAGAAAATTAAAAATAAAATAAATATAAATAAATATTAAGAAAAAAAGAATAATAATAAAACATAAAAGAAATGCGATAATAAATAGGAAATAAATATAAATATGATACTAAAAAGAAAAAAAATAAAAGTTACAATAAATAATATAAAAAAACAATAAATTAAGATAATTAATAATAAGTAAGAAAATTTAATAAATATATAATAAAAATATTAAAAAAAGTTAATAAAATATGAAGAAAATAGTAAAGAAAATATAAAAAAATAAAAAAATCAAAAAAAAAATCATTAGAGTAATAAATAAACACCTGAAAACAATATGAAATATAAGTAAAGTAAACTTGAAAAAAAATTAAAACAGGAAAATAAAAAAAGAGAAAAGGGCTTCTAAAATAATAATGATAATAATAATAGTAATAATGAATAAGTAATCGCCTCGGAGTCGACTTGCCGGACGGGAATACCCGGGTCAGGTAAGCTTCTCCAACCAATCACATCCACAGGTTCAGACGGCCCAGCAGATTGCACAGAAGCGCCTTGCCAGCCGTTTAACAGTCTTACCTGTGATAATAGGGATAAGTGCAATAATAAAAATAATAGTAGTAGTAATTAAGAAAATAATAATAGGTTCCCTTGCAAAAATGATCATCTGCTATAAGTATAGAGCCAATCCGCAATGTTCCGTTCGTAACGAGCATGCTAGAAGCAGCCCTTATTATTGTTGTTGTTAGTATTATAATTATTCATTATTATTCATGAAAACATGATAATTGTTATTAGAGCAACCCAACACCCTTTAAGATTTTACTTTCAAATATAACGCCTTCAACAGGAGCGGAATAATCTGCTTGCAAGTTCATTAAATCAGCCTATTATGATTATAATAATTATGATTATAAAAAAAATTAAAATAAGAATGAAAAATAGACCGATCGTTAATTATTATATAAAACACGTGATAAAAAGTGCATAAACCATAAATCGGAGCCAAAAAAATTATTCATACCGATATCAGAACATTTTTAATACAATGTAAATAGAAGTATTATAAGTGGTAGATTTTTAAAGCAATCATCCAATACTAAATAACCATCAATAATTCTCAGCTCTATATAAATTTTTTATATCAATAATTATACTCTTTTAGATTGAAAACTTAATATTATTAAAATGTTTTACTTTTTTAATAAATAAAATTATAATAGTATTATTATATTAATAAACTTATAGTATTTTAGTTATAAACTTTTTATTATAAAATTTGATAGTATTTTTTTATTATATGATATATTATTTTTGTATATTCATTATTTGCTTACTATATTTTTTAATTATTGAGTGAGAAAATTTTGTTAAAATTACTATATTTATTATTAAACTATTTGTAATAATACACTATATTTTATATATTTTTTTTTGGATTCCATTTTTAGTATTGCCATTATAATAATTTAACTTTTTCATAATAAGTAATATTTTAATAGTACTAAAATTCTTTTTTAATATTAAATTAATTTAGTATATTTATATATTACTATAAGTTTTTTAATGATAACTTATTATTTTAACATTTTTATATAATAATAAAACTTGGTTGTATATACTTACTATACAATAAATAATATATATCTTTTAAATCAAAACTTTTAATATGATTTATTATAATACTTAATATATTTGTAATATGTTTTAGATGAGATCACAAAGTCCAATGTTAGAGGTCGGATAAAATATCCACATGGAAAATAAGTTTAAAAAAGGATCAACTCTTGCGCTTATTACCGCCAATGAGTATCAGGGGATAAACTAGAAAGAATGTTTGGCCCATGCACGTGCACGAGTGGTCATGAAAATTACCATATTTAGAAGTGGTAGATTTAGGAATCTCTGCGCACTCCAAAGGCTGCAATAATTTTAATGAAGCGTCCTTCTATTACTGATATTTTTATACAGCGCTACAGTAAAATCTAAGCGATAAGAGAGAACCAATAAAAACTTCGTAGTATTATATATTTATCAATTTTTTTATTATAATACAGTTTTGAGGATATTATAATATTTATTGTTGAATATATATATAATTATTATATAAAATGAAACTTTTCTAATAAAAGTTTCATTTTATATGGCTCTCTAATAGAATTAACTAATGATCTCAAATACTCTAGCAAATAAAATCATTTTAAAAAACATATTTCGTCCAAAAAAAGTTTACTTTATAAGATATTTTCTTATATTTCTTAAGCAATAATAATAATGGTGATATATAAATAATAAGGATAAATTATTATTACAACAATAATAACATAACCTGCGCATCGATAGCTTCTAGTAAGTCATTAATATTGGTGCCGAACTTTCCAGAAATCTCAACACATTGTATATCGCCTGTAATAATAATAATAATTATAGTCCACCAATATATATAAAATGACGTGTGATAAATATTATTATATAAATAAAAAGTATTTAATATAAATAATAAATATAAATTCAGTTAATATATAATTATAATAACAATATAATAAATAACAAACAACAACTATAAAAATATCATAAAATAAGATAATAAAGGAAAGTGATAATAAAAATATATCAAATAATAACAAACAAAATTATAATAATTATATGTACAAAATAATATTATATGGTAATAATTATAAATGATATATAAACAATTTTATAAAATAAAAATTTATTAATATAATAAATATAATAATAAATAAGATAAAAAATTGAAAAAAAAAATTATTGAAATATAATGACAAATTATTAAATTATAAATAAAAATTTTTTTTATATTATTAAAATTTTACTAAAAAAGTTGAAGACTATTATAACTGTCAATACTAATATTTATAAAATATAAATTAAATTATCATAATAATAAGTTTTACAAAAAAATTCTAAAGGTACGAAACAAAATAAACATAAATTACGAAATAGTAACAGTTATATGAAAAATGAATAGAAATAAAAAAGGAAAAAATATTAATAAAATTAATAATAAATAAAATAGTTTACAGTAATTTCCATGAATAATATTATAATGAAAAATATTATTATTATAAATAATAATAAATATATAAAAAAAATTTACAATAATAAATAAAAATTCAATTAATATAATGATGACAATATAT